TAAAAAAAAAAAAAGTCAGCTGGATCTGCAAACTGTAAGAACTACGAGAACTGAAGAGAACAGGCCCACAATACAAGTCATGTAAGAAGAGAGAGAGATACACATTTTATCTGTTTGGTTACAGATAGCAAACTTTCTAGTTTGAGTACTAGGTCCACACAAGATTTACAGCAGAGTTGCTTTCACAGTGCTAAGACAAGATAGTGTTCCATCCCTTTTTTCAAGTGCTAGAGAGTTCTGGATTAAGATAACATCAGATTCAGATAAGGAACTCAATCATTTGCCAAGAACTTTGGACGGTTATGTTTTCCCGTAGAAAATCCTTCCCAGGATCAATATCTTGCAATACAGGCTCATAGAGAAAGAATTCAGAATAAATCAGCTGCAGATGTTTCATGTGAAATTTCAGATGTCACCTGCCTTCCCCCCTGCCCTCTTAACCCTCCTTATTTTCAGAGTAATATCGCTATGAATGCAAATTCTACACTTTCTTCCACTGAAGTCACTGCTTCAAAAAGCATCCATCTACCTCAGCTGTTTCAGAACACTTCAGAAACACCAACAGAATTATCCCTCATATTGTACAGACCTAAGCCACACTTTAATTAGCTTTTTAGCTTCAGTTCAAGAATCTAAAGCAATACAAGTCATTGATTTGGGCAGGAATGGTTGTCCTGGCCTGGCAAAAGGAACTTAAGGTAAGAGATGTAAGCATACAGAATACTGTTACGTCCTGGATGAGAAATAGACCAGAACAATATAATAGGAAACATTCTGTAGACAAGTCCTACTAGGTTCCAGAATTGATTTGCAATGTATTTCAGGGAATACTTTGTTAAACTCAACACAGTAGAAATTATTTTATTAAGATTTGCAAGCAAGCGGCTTAGGTCTAATAGCTTTTTGGCAAGATTTGTAAGTACTACCCTACCACATCAACAGATTCTTTAAACCCTAGAGATGTTCACAATGTTGTTCTTCCTTTTCATTACAGAATTGTCAAGTTGAACCTAAATCTTCAGCAAAGTTAGCATTTTCACTTATTTCAAAATGCCAGAAGCACCAAATCACCTGACTACACTAGCAGACTGTTTCACACACAATGCAGGTCATATCTTCTCGTGCAGTTGGCTCACTGTTACATCCCGTATTTTATATTAATTCAGACAGTTCAAGACACAAATCAAGTAAATGCATTTATTTCACAAGATGTGCATTTAAATATAACATCGCCATATGGTTCAGCTGGTACAAAGCACTGAATCAACCCAGTCAGGTTATCCATTCAGTTTATGTCTTCATATGATTAGTGTCTCTTGTCAGAAATGGGTACAGCTTGGGTTCAACTGTACTGCTTGACCCCTAGTGAAAATGTAGTTCCTGTCTCCCTGAAGGCAAGAGCACATGTGAGCAAGCACAAACTTTACTGACAGCTTGGACAGCAGAAAAAAAAACAAAATCATTTTTGAGATTAATGCTCAAAGGAAATAATTCAGCTCCTTCACTGATCAGTGCTGACACAACTCAAAGGTGACTCAGATTGGGTATGCAAAGCAAGCCCTGGCAATGGGTAACAATGCAATCACTCCCCATTTTCCTAATCCAGTTGGAATCACCTTACACAGTTGCCTCACTCATCAAAAAAATAGTACATAGCAAAAGTCACAGTTCCATATATCTACTTTAAAAGAAAGCAACAACGTACCCTATAGGCTGGGGATCTATAGGACAGTCCAGTAGAACAGTTGCTCCGAGCAGGGGCACAGCCAGAGACGCAGCCAAAGTCAAGAAGGTAACACGGAACACCTTGCTGCTGTAAGCACTGTCAGAAACACACAAGAAATAGGATTAACATGGGATGCCATTTCAGCATGTAATAATTAAGGAAATCCACAAACCTTAACAGTCCATTTCCTCTACCAAAAGAGGCAGATATACTTTTACTCAATTAACTTCTCAAATACTTTTAAGGTCCCATTTTGGCCTGGTTAATATAAAACAAAGGGGTATGTATGCAGTCTCTGCACAATGGCAACACATGAGGCTATGAGAGTAGCATCACATACAGGTTTCATGCAAGTTACAGTTGACCAAAACCCAACACTTCGTTCTTTTAAATTGAATTAATGTTTTGGCAGCAGTTTCCTTCCCAGCTCTAAGTTAAACCTCCACCTTCCAGAATTTTTCAAGAAGCAGAAATCAGGCAAGTACTAATTGCAGATGAAAGAGTCCCAGCAACTAATACAACGAATACAAGATTAGAGGAGATTAATTGAATGATTTCTTAACACAGTGAAGACTGGGTTGAAATTCAAGCCCCAGCATGCAGATGCAATTAAGCACCTCCTACTTATCCAGCAAAACACACAACGAACAGCAAAACCTGTTTTTTTTCCACAGGAAAAAAAAGCATACTTTCCTCTCAACAAGCTGCTAAGCCTCAATCAGGCGCTTACAGAGGAAAGCACGGAGCCATGCCCAACAAATCCCAGACCTGAACTAGAAAAGCAGCTCCCAAACCTCAGCTACATCCAAATGCTCACTGACACAGGCAGCCAGGCCCCACTCAATATCAGTTACACATAGGCAAATGGCACCTCTGTGTAACCTGGACCATTTCCACTGTGCTGTCCTTCACCAGCCTGCCATCCAAACAACAGGACAGAGCACCTGCTCTGCTGCCCAGAGCACAAACAGTACAACTGGGGAGCTAACAGCATGTTGCTATCAGCCTCGAGGTAACCTCTGGGATTATCTGCTGGGAAAGGAAGGACACAGCCAGGCCTGGATCTGGTCAATGCCTCCACCAACAACAAACTGATGCTAAAATATTCATTGCCCATCACAGCTGCTGCCAGACAACAGTCCTCTTTGGGCACATCAGCAATGTTACAGCAATAAGCCTATCTCTAAGATGACGTAATCAGATCATGAAGCTGCTTCAAATAAGCTTTCTCATCTGCACTGACCAACCTCTCTGCAATTCCCAGGGGCCAGACTGCCCTTGTGATGAGGCACCAGATCTCAGCACTGTCTGCTGGAACAGCAGATGTCTCGAGAAAGCAACATCCCAGTCTTTTTCCCCTTGCCCTTGGAATGGAGAGAGCGACAGAGATATGAGGTGGTCTCTAAGTCTGCGCAAAAACTTCAGCTGCCAACCTCACCCTTCCACAGTCCTTCAGAAAATGTTGGCTCAATACTTTAAAATTGAAAGTGCTGTCAGCAGCCACAGAAGCACCTTTGTGACAGCTGAGAACAGCTCACACAAAAGGAAGCTGATAAAGGTGAATGAGAACTCATTTGCCAAGTCAACTTAATTAAAGCTTCTGAAAGCATAACATAGGTAAAGGTCATACTTCTGAGCATCAATCAAACTTGCAATGTACTGTTAATAAAGGAAACAGGCAGGAAGAATGAGGCAACATGCAAACCCCCGCTCCAGCCTGCAAACTGCAAGACCTACTTTAGATACTGCTGAAATACTAGACTTTAAATAAAAGCAAATGCACATCAACAAAATCAAACAACTCCCAATCCTCTGGCTATAACAACACTAAGTTTGTTGTCACTGAGAACTAAAACGAGATGCTGTCACACAGCTCTTGGAGACAGGCTGGCAAAAAAGACACTAGAGGTCAGCACAGCCAGCATAGCACTCTCAGCAGGGGGACGGCAGGAGTGGCAGCAGGGAGGGCAGCCGTCAGCAAGAGTTTCTGCACGGCTCCCATCTGGAACACAGGCATCCTTCAGAAGTACTTCATGCAGGACAGCCTCGAGAGAGCGGGGCCTGTGGATATTCCGGATCGTTGACAGAGTCCTAGAAACACAACTGATGTGAGAAAAATTAGCAAGAGAGGTGGACGCTGGAAAGAACAACTGAAAGGTGCTGATAGTCTCCCTTGTTAACGGGGCTGTGAGTACAGCAATAAGCACCTCTTGCACCCTGGCGACACAGAGGGGCAGGGAGGAAAATCTGAGGGGTACTCAAGTAGGAAAAGACATCAGTGATGGCAAACCAAATCAGTGCCAGCCTAAGAGTGATTTAGTTCAGAAGGGACCTTGAAGATCGTGCTTTGGTGGAAGGCAAAGCAAACACTGCTTTCTTACTGCCGCTGCAGCTACAGAGAAGCCAGTTTTTGAATGGAAGCGGTACACAGGGAGCCGTATAGGAGATCGTCCTTAACCGAACCGATGCAGTGTTTATAAGGCACACAGAGGCGTGCCGTCAGCTCTCTGAACCATCGCCAGCCCCAAACAAACTAACAGCATTACACAACAGCCAGTCACACCCACAGCAGATCCGCGCAAGCCACAACGGGATAAGCGGCACCGCTCCACGAGCCGCACGCGATCTGCGTTTAAACAGCCCCAACATCATCAGATAGATGGACAGATGAACAGAGCCCAGCGCCGGGCACACACGGGGCCGCCCGAGCGCTGCCCGAGCAGCACCGAGCGCACAGCGGTGCCTTACCGGCCCGCAGCCCCGCGCCGGACGGGCCTCCCACCTGCCCTCCTTGGCCTCCTGCGCCGGGCTGTCCTCGGTGATGACCTGCGGGCGGAGCGGCCGGCGCTGCCGCAGCCCCTCGGCCTCATTCATCCTCCGCAGCTCCGGCCCCGGCCTCTGCCCGCCCCCCGCCCCGCCCCGCGGCGCGGCCGCGCCTGCGCACTGCGTCGCGCTCCCTCGGCAGGCCTCCTGCGGCGCGCTGAAGGCTGCGGGACGGGGCTTTGCTCGGCCCCGCCGTGTCCGGGCGCCGCCTCCAGACGGCCGCTGAGCCGCCGCGGCCCCGTGCTCAGGAGCGGAGCTCGGCGCATCCCCGCTGATGCTCCGGGAAGGAGCCGCTCCATCCAGCAGGTGGCAGCAGGGGGCTGCGCTGGGGCTGGCGTGAAACGGGCGGGGGGCAGAGCTTGGTGCGGAGTGCGAAGTTGGTTTTCTGGCTGCTGGGAGCGAAACCGCACACGTGGAGTCAGACGCCCGCGGCACAAAGCCAACATCACGGAGAAGTGGATGCTTCTTTTAATGAAAATCTGAATACGGAGATCGCGGATTTCGGTCAATGACAATAAATGCGAAGTATGGTAATTAAAACAACAACAGCAGCAAAATGAAGCATTAATCTGTACAACAAGGAGATGCCTTTTTGTTTCCTAAAATTAAGAAAATCGTGGTCTGGTCTCTCGGGTGGGAAAAAAGACACCAAGATCAGGTTTCATGGGTACATCTGAGTGGGAAAATGAGGTAAGAACATGATGGACGGGCACGGCAAGGTTATATTACTACTAGATGCTGCCACAACAGACATAGAGGCACCGCTCCCCTAGCAGGCCTTGTGTCCCTTGTTGAATGTTTTCATTTGCCCTTTGTGTCAGACTGCAGCAGGTAAAACTAACTCTGAAACTCTTCTGATGAGGTTACAAATGCAACCTAGCACATCACCCCCACGTTAATCGTGGATGTACAAAGGTCCATCAGTTTTGCTTTCCCAAATGAAGCAACCACACACAAGAGAATCCCCATGATCCCACTATGAACTATTCCAAGTACAGCTACCTTCTCCACAGATGAGAGTGCATCAGCTCAAAAGACAACAGGCCTGAAGTCTTTTGCTAGTGACATCTTCCTCCTAGTATTGCAAGAACTGAGGACCTCAGTGCCAGTTCTACAGGCTGAGTCCCTCCTCAAAGCAAAGTCCGGACGGGGGATGAAACAGCTGCACATGAAGCTGAAAGCACTATTGACAAACACACCAATGCTGGTGCTCACCACATCCAGGAAATAGCAAAATGCTCAGCTCAACTCAGACTAGCACCGGTAGTGCAACCACTGCAATTAGAGGTTACAGAAAAAAAGATGAAAGGAGGACTTCTAAGGCTGGAAAACTTAATGCACGTTCCACAGATGTAGAGATGTGGAACTGAGAGCCATGGTTAGTGGTGATGATTGGACATGATTATCTTAGTGATCTCTTCTGACCATGACGACTCTATGATTCTATGACAGTACCATGTGCTCTCTATGAGCATCCAAAGGGGCCTCAGAATACACAGATGCAGGTGAAGCAGTACTCTTATCTCCCCTTTTCCCTTATCAGATGAATTGGATAACAGTGTCTCAGTGCACCAAAGCACACAGCTCCTCACACAGCCAGTCCTTGTGAGGCAGTTCGGATGAATTAGATCAAATGTCAGTGAATACTGGAACTTCACATGGAAATTTCAGGTCCAAAGGACAAGGAAATTCTGTAACATAGAAAATGCTTTCTTGATTAAAAATAAAGTGTATGATTTTGTTCAAAGACCACTTCTCTTTCTCCACCCTATATTTCAGACTGTGTGGGGGAGACTGTGTGTGTGCAGACAGCCTGTCTAAACAAGAGAGTCTACTTTTTCTGTCAAAAGCATCAACTACTGTCAGCTTCCCACTCGAAAATCACTTAAGGAAGAGGGGTTTTATTTCTGCAGTGGCAACAGAGGATGTATGTAGTGGCCGTCTCCTGAAATATTAACAGTCTGTCAGCTATGTCAAACTTTTTGATCCTCAACTTCCCACAAAGTCCACAGGCTGTATACTTCCCTCAGGCAAAAATGGATTGCAGTCAGAAGGATGGGAATCACAACAAAGTATGATCTTCCCTGCTGTATTACCCAGACCCTGGAAACATTTAGATTTAAAAATCCAACAACAATCTCTGCTGGCCAAAAACTCACCACTCCTTGCTTTGGAAAGCATATGAAAGACAAAGACTATTGTTTCCTGTTATTCTGAGGTTGCTAGTCTGGAATACAACCATCATTTCCCAGAAAGCATCTAAGACATACTTCCTTCTTGTGGATTGTGCAATCTGTGTGTACCAGCATGGCATGTGCTGGAAGATCAGCACAGCAGCATATGGAAGTGACAGACATGACAGGGCACATCTTGAAATGACAAGCGTTAAGACAACTTCTGATGAAAGAACCAACCTACCTTCAAATTGGGTGCCTGTCTTTGTTGATTGCCTGTCTGATTATAGATCATTTGGGAGTGGGCTAAAATAGCCATTCACTGACTAGAAATCATAGAACTCAGCAAGTCACAACAAACCTTCTAGCACATCTCTTTAGCTTCAAACGTTTCTTGAGCACTTTGGGATTTTACTCCTCCATGCTCCTCTAACAGACAGCAAAGTAAATATGGTTTCCTTTTCATAATGACTTGAAGAAATAAAGAAAACTACAGAAATTATCATCACCAATGAGGAAGAGGAAAGTTGCTCTAAAATCCCAGTTGGTGATCTCAGTTTCTTAAAGCAGAATGAAAACACCTCTAGCCAGTTCCCTCATACACAACTGGCAATGCACTGAGGATGTGCAGAGTTCAGAGATAGGCTTTGTGGCTCAGTTTTGTAGCTGGAAGTGCTAACGCTAGGTTGTGTAGGTGTGACATGATGAAACACAGGCTCATGATCTCAGGGAAGTTCTGTAAATATAGTGGAAGGCACAAGTCATTATGAGGAAAGCCACAGGAATTATCAGAACATGAGATAAATATCTGATTAGCCATGTCCTTCTCATTTCCCTAATAATACATGTGAAATATCTACTAAAAAACCCAGCATTGCTGAAAAGGCACCACAGTTGCAGTTAAAAACAACTTGAACCTGGATATCCAAGCTGAAGGAAAAATAGAAGGAATGTATTCCAAGGCTGCTCTTAAAAAAGCGAAAGTATAGTATAAAAACATTTCCTTGTATAAAACCATTGAAATGAGAAATATTAATATCTTCATCTTGTTTTACCTCATATTATTTTCACCACAGCTAATGGAAACTGCCAATGGCTGCCCTAGAAGCAGTGAAAAGGAGCTCCCTGACTGTGCAAGCAGATGGCTCCTAGCTCTGAACAACTCAAAACACTTTGTGGAGAAGAAATCCTATTTCTCTAGAAGGGAACAGAGTTTTGCAGAATGCACCAAGAGAGAACCATGTTGTTTGGCTCATCCTTCGAGACCCTCCACATTTCCAGAGCAGAGATGTTCCAAAGGCATCTGCTATGAGGAACTCTTCTCCTTTTTGTATTTCTGGTATGCATCCAGTATCTCTGTGACGACACTTGGATCGTCAAGTGTGGTGACGTCTCCCATGTTACTTGATTGCTCAGTGACTACTTTCCTCAGCAGCCTCCTCATGATCTTCCCTGATCGGGTTTTAGGAAGGCGTTTCACCACCTGCAGAAAAGAGAAAGACACACCTGTATCAGAACTTGGATCCTGCTGGAAACCATGTGGAATTCTAGCTGAACTATCCTAAGCCTGGCGCTATCTCATGGCTACAACTCCTAGGAGACTCCTAGGGGCTACTCATTGAGCACAGGAGTTTGTGTCCAAACAAAGGAATATTGCTTGCATCAATACCTTGTGCTATAAAATGTATTCTTATCTAACTAGACTTTGCTCCTCATTCACTCATTGCTGTGTAACTCCAGGCTGGGTGCTGCTGAGTATGAAGCTTTTTGGAGACTCAGGCCCTGAATAAGCTGAATTAACTGTTGAACTACAAACGCTTGAAAACTCATAGAACAGTAGAATGCCTTGGATTGGAAGGGAACTTAAAGCACACCTAGTTCTAATCCCTGCCATGTACAGGGCTGCCCCCCCCAGCTCAGGCTGCTCAGAGCCCCATCCAACCTGGCCTTGAGTCCCTCCAGGAACAGGGCACCACAGCTTCTATGGGCAGCTGTGCCTCACTGCCTTCTGAGTAAAAAAATTCCTCCTGATACATAATCTAAGTCTCTCCTCTTTTAGTTTAAAATAGTAATGCTGCTGCATGTCAAAGAAGGGATGACAAATGCCGCTTAAGGCACAAGGTGTGCCTAAAATTCCTCTTTGCCAGAACTCTTGCCAGGAAAGGTACTCTCAGTACTCTCTGTGCATGGATGTGTACATTCAGACCATTGCACCTGCCTCCTCCACCCACAGATCCCTCCAGCAAGTTCTCTTTTCCTCTCCTTTGTCCTGCTAGAGAGAGACAACTGCAACACAGCAGATAGGAAAGGCAAGGCTTATTAAATGTGGCTGTTCCTGCTCCCAGTCTCCCTTAGTCTCCCACTTACCAGAATGTGGTCAGGCACAGCATACTTTGCTATTTTGGTAGCCACAATAGTTTTGAGCTCTTCTTTGACATGGTCTATACGAGCTGTCTGCTCTTTCAGCACTACGAAAGCAAAGGCACCTAGAAGAAAAATGAGAAAAATGAAATATGAGTACCTCATATTAGGTCCTGGCTGGCAGAACTACTCATTTGAATGCCAAGGCAGGTTTTAAATCATTCCTAGGCACGATCTAGGGACTGACAAGAAAACCATCAGTCATGTTTACAAAAGCAGCCACATTCAAGCCTCTAGAATAAAGGTCCAGCCTTGTCTTAGCATCCATAGACTAGATTGGTCTCAGTAACAATGATAGCACAACAATGACTAGCAGAGTCATTGGGATCAATATCAACACAAACCAATCTGTTCAAAGGATTTTTCTGAGCACAATCCTACTTATGAAAGCTCTATCACATATATAAACACCATGTATTAAAACAGTCAAGGGAGCAATACCTGCACCTAGCTTAGGAAGTTATTTTCAAAGGTTGCCTTTGCCCCTTAGGACTGTATTGCCAGTCAACCAATAGTAACCAGCCTATTCCCTAGACACCACTTAGCACAGAGTCCAGGTTAGAAACTGATTGTATTTATGTGTCAAGCCAGGATGCTGTTTTTCACATACCTTCTCCTTTGATTTCATGGGGATACCCAATCACAGCTGTCTCAGGGACATCAGGGTGATCAGCCTTCACAAAAAGTAAAACAAAAATAATCAGAGCGTAAAGCCCTTCAGCATTTGTGCCAGCTACTTTTGCAGTATCTGCACTATCTTGCCATCTCTTTGTTGCATGCAAAACAGGAAAGCTGGATTCCACCTCCCTACTCCATAGTCAGCTGGTGGCCATAGGCACCAGTTTCTGGGAGTAGCATTTACTCACTGGATTGGTCCTGCTTTCAAACACACTAATAAGCATTTTTACATACACCGTTGGACCCAAAGCACACCAAGCTGAATTTGCACCAGCAAGAGGCAACAGGTACACAATAGGCCTTATTTAAACATCAGGAAGCAGTCCTGTGCTGTGCAGGTGCTGGAGCACTGGCAGGTTTCCCAGAGAGGTTATGGAGTTTTTCTCTTTGGCGACTTTCAGAAGCTGCCTGGACAGGGGCCTGGGTGAGCAGCTCTGGGTGTCCCTGCTGGAGCAGGGGCTGGAGTAGATAAACCCAGAGGTGCCTTTCCACATCAACCAGTCTGTGATTCAGTGACGCTTTCTCTTCGTGTGTGTAAGGCTACAGTCCCAAGTGATGTCTGGCCATAGCCAAGTCACACACAAAAGTAGTTTTGCATTGCTCTGTGCCTCTGTGCCAGAGGTCTGTCTCCAGCAGAACAAATGCGAAGCTGCTAATATCACAGTCAACACTTGATCAGTGTTTATCAGCAACCAAAGCACACCAGAAAGAAGAAAGAATCCGGCCTTCACTTCTTCCTAGAAGCATTAAAGGGTTATTTGCTGAATGCACATTTTTATTACGCTCCAGAACAGTGATTTATTCTGCCACACTTTTTGGGTGAAAGTGATTCTCATTGGCAGTAAGGAGACAGTTTGGGTGTATAGGCTGGGAGAACTCACGTACCCGAATCTCACACCAAAGACTGGATTATGTCTTAAATAAGATTAAAAATAGGAAAAAACATCACAGAGCAATACAGCATACAAATATATTTGCATATTCACACATATACATATATAAAAAGTGGGGGAGGAACCAGATCCTATATCCACGATCATAAATTCATCCAGACAAAAAAATTTTCTCACAGAGGAGACAACAGAATCCTGTGTGCCATATAAATTCAGGTTTATCAGATGTTACATTTAAGTGCTGTTTGCAGGCAAGGCACATAACACAGAAATAAATATCCAGGTCAAGCTTTGAAGGTAAGTGCTTTGAGGACTTTTTGTTTTCAATCCTCTGAGCTAATACTATTTTCTCTCAGAATGACAAGCTATCTATCTTTGCAGCTAATGTGAATCAAGGTTGTTTCAGTGCTACTGAATTCTCAGCCATATTCAGCTAGTCCAGATGAGCATGAACCGCTGATTTGGGAAGTAAGGGCTAAGTGTTAGCAGAGGGAAAGGAAGGAATGCGAGAGCCAATCCCTTACAAAGACTCTACCAGCATCTAAAATTACAGCTGTATGTAAGTAGGGGCAGAGGTTCAAAGGCAATACTGCTACTACAAACAAATCAGATTTTGCACTTGTTTAAATTCACACAGCTTCTTTCAAGGGCTACCCTGCCCCATAGATGTGTGCCTGCTTGCAGCTTACCATTGCATCTTCTATCTCTGCTGTTCCAAGCCTGTGTCCGCTGATGTTAATGACATCATCCATGCGCCCTGTTATCTGGTAATAGCCTTCTTTGGTTCTGTAAGCACCATCCCCCGTGAAATAGTAACCTAATGGAAAGAGATGTGCGTGGTTGTTAGCAGGAAGTGTGCCAGCCTATTGCCTGGGGACTCTGGTTCAGGACAGATAATGCTCTAGGATGACAAGTAAGGCAGGGTGGACCAGACAGTTTGCAGACTAAGCTTACAGATGCATGATTGGCCACACATCATTTTCCACTTCCTTCTGCTATCCTCAGCCTTTGGCTGCTATCATTAGGCTGTATTGGCTGCTAAATCATCTGGGCAGCAGCAAGGCAATAGTAGGCATAATTGCCTACAATCATTGTAGGCAACCAGCAGCAACCAATAGCTGATGTCCCTGCAATAAAACCAAGCCCACCAACACAACATAGTGATGCTCTGTTGGATTTACAAAAACAAAAAGGGTTCTCAGATCTCCTTTACACTCAGATGTCCTTTACGCTCCTACAGATGCACAGCAACTGCTCACCCAGGCTAATGCATACAGCCCCAAAATAGTTCAAATGCCATGTGCCATCACGCCACAGGCTGCTGGTCAAACTCAGGTCTGCTGCTAGCTTCACCTCAGTGCTCAATGAAAATTGCAAATGCTCAGCTGAAAGTGAACAGTTCTATTACATTTTGTAAATGGGAATACTGCCAATTTTTTTAATCACTTATGTTGGGTCTGATAAAAAGCCACTTCTTTTCTTGACTAACAAAGACTCAGGTCCCAGAAAATGATCCCTTTTCAGCATATGACCATGGTAGAAACTATGCTACCAGGTTAGTTGAAAGGTAAACAAACAAAGCCATGTCCAGGAGAGAATTGTTCCTGGGGCACTTCGGCATAGCAGCTGGCAGCTAATGCTGCAAGCTCTGAAGGCAGCTTTTGGCAGGATCCATTACTGTCCAGTTCATGGATTTTCAGTCATGCTTCTTGCCTTTCCAATCAATTATCTATTGATAGGAGTTATCAACCTATGTTAAATATCACTGTGATTTCAGAAGCAGATATGAAATGAATAATAAGGGAACAGGGGCTCATTCAACTTCATCAATTTCCCGTTCTTATTTTCCACACAATTTTGCACAACTTGCCGGGCCATTTTTCCAATTTTTCTCTACCTTGTGACTTCCCAAGCCCTTTGCCTTGAGTGAAGACAGTGGTGTTGTCCAATTTCCTATAAAATGTTTTCTCTGCCACTGGCAATTACTTGCCAGGTACAACGTGACCATGCTTAAAAAGGGGCAGGTGTAACAGCATGTGACAGCCCAGGCAAGATTCAGTAATGCAGGAGGTACTTTCTCATCCTACATGCTTATTTCCAAATGAGACAAAAATGGCCCCAGGAAAGTGTCCTTGGATTTTTATTCTAGGCACTACATTTTTATAAGTAAATGCATTTCCATGTGACAGCTAGAACCATTAATGCATGCTTACAACAGGCAACCCACCAAATTCCAGCAACCCCCAAGATCTAGCTTGAATAGAAATATCACAAAGCACTGCTGAAAATATTCAGCATTCTTATAATGCAGTGCAAACCACACTCCCTTGACACTCTCCTTACCTGGATAGGCTTTGAAATATGTATCAACAAATCTCTGGTGATCTCTGTAGATTGTTCTTGCCAGGCCAGGCCACGGCTGCGTGATGCAGAGTGCACCAGACACATCATTGCCCTCTAAAACCTTTCCCTGCAGGTTCAAGCACAAAAAGGATGATCAGAAGAGCAAAATAAGAATAACAAGTGCCTCTGACTCACTGATATAGTAAGAATCACCCTGTTGCTCAGTGCAGACTGCCAATGGTTGGCCACATGGGGAGAAGATGAATCCTCTAGTGAACACACCATCTGTGCTGGGCATTCCTTACTCCTCAAGGCCTGCAGCACTGCAGATAAAACAATTTTAAGTCTCAAAGAACAATCAATCCTGTGATTCTGCAGAAGGCAAGGCTGGAAAAGATGATAACAAAGGCATGCTAAGCAGCCAGAGGATGCCTGGGGTGAGGCTAAGAGGGAAGTGCCTGGACTGCTACCTTTTCCTTTCACTTACATTAATTGCCACATTCCCTTATTAAACTGTATATGAAGAGATTACATGCTTTACTGGGCACTGGAGAGCTTATGGGGACTGCTCAGCATAGCTTCAGAGATCAGCATTGTTCTCTTACAGACACGCACTGCTGCAGGGCCTCATGCCTTGCATTTCCCTTGGAAGACTTCATCTCTGACTTCACCAGTCTTGCTAAGTCACTGGATGTTGTATGCACTGTGCCAGCTGTTCATCTCCCTGGTTTCCAAGACATGTATGACTTCTGACTGCTCTCAGAAATGGAAGAAGCAGCTTATAATCTCTTTAGAGATTTGCAGATAGCTTTCAGTGCCCAGCTGGAAGTCTGTATGGATATTTGAGATATGCTCAGATATATAAATTGCTCTTTTATTCTACTGTTTTAATGGAGGAACATACGTCCTCCCAGATCCTGTTCCTCTCCCATTGGAAAGGTGATTAAGGCAGGAAAACACAGTAGCTTCTCTTCTCAGCACCCGTCACAGCCACAACTCACATCTTCATCCATCAGAACAGGGAAAATCCCAAAGAAGGGTCTCATAGCCATAGCTGGAATGATATCAGCTTTCTCCTCTGAAGGCCGTGGGGCAATGCAGATGCCACCAGTTTCTGGAAAAATAATGAAAAATAAAATATTTGAGATTCATCCAATGCTGGATGAAAGCAAATGCTAGCTCTTCTTTGTTAAAGAGAATACAGAAGCCACCTTCAAGTAAAAGCCACTGGGAAGGAATTATTCAACATCAAGTAGCACGGCACAGAGTGGGACCGTACAGCCTTCTCAGGTAGGTAAGAGCAGTTCTCCATGGCACTGAGCATCAGGACCACTAATGTCCCGCTTAGCTCTTCTCAGGAAGCACTGCATGGGCTGCAGCACTGGCTTTGCACCGAAGGCCTGCGGACCCTGCAGTGTCAAAACACTGTGCATGCATCCAGCACCCTTCCATGGACATATCCACAGCAAACCAGGCACGAGGAGGTGTCTTGATTCAGCCCGTGTGCTCTCTGCCCAGAAGCCTGGCACTAAATCAGCTCATGGAAAAACCAATTCCTCTAGCTACCAGCTAGCAATGAATACAAGGAGCTCTAATGCATACACACACCCTTCCAAGATTTTTTTTCACATGAATGGGGCTGCTTGGCAGCAGGGACAATACTCATCAGCCCCATTTCCTACCCTAGTAGTGATTTTACAGAGAAAGGGGATTTATCTCCCTGTGCTGTTTTTACAGCTGTCTAAGGTTAGTAGGAAAAGCACTTCAGGAGTCTGAATTGCTGTTATTACAGAGAATGAGAATAACCCACCCCTTACAAGCAATTTGAGATCATCTTCTATTCAAAATTGAACCCTTTAATCATTCTTTTTTCATGCCTGCTGGGATGAACATTAAATCAGATTCCAACCTTAATAAAATCTGAAAGTAATTCAAAAACACAAATGAGAGACAAAAAACATAGGAACATTAAGCTTTAATAAATATAGCTGTAGAAACTAAGCTATGTTCTGCCACTTAGAGAGTGCTGAGCTCCACCAGCTTTGCTGAGGTTGTGGAAACTGAAATCAAGGTTTGGAAAGGCTGAATCTGACCTTGAGTTTGCATCCATCAGTTACCCTGATGGGGGTACAAGGAAGGGCCTCTGAGGAAATGCATGCTTCAGAAATAAATGGTAGCAGGGATGCTTCAAAATTTATTTGTATGGGAAAGACCTGTCTTAAACTGGCACTGTAAGAAACCAACAACCAAGGTTTCCAGAACCTACTTAGAAATGTCTCTCAAAAACAGTTTTTGTTCACAGCTGCATACAACAGCTGTATCTTGTGGGTATTTTTTTAACTGAAAAACAAAAATGGAACTACCAAGTGTTTCCTCTGCACTGTGAATAACTATGCCTGGAACTGAAACACAGATTTGATTCCATTACTGTCAATCACAGCCCAGCAATTCCTAATATTTTAACACTAAAAGCCACAGAAATGTTCCGTCTCTCTCATCTGCACATAACACTACTAAAATTGCTTCCTGTAATTGCTGTCTCACTTATTCACTCATCCAAAGACTTTCAAGTGGATTCTTAAATCACCATTTGCTGATCTGTACGCCCACCAGGCTTTACTAGCTGGCAACGTGTTGCTGCTTTGGAGAGCAATGTACCATAGAGGACACTGCACACAGCAGTGCAATTACCGAGCTATAATGAAATCGTTTGTGAGAGGTGACACTGCAGGATCACAACCAGCATCCATCAGACTGTTTCTGTGATCGCTTTCCATATTCCCTTTGCATTTATAATTGTGTATATAGTGCATCCATGATTAATTTGGCTTCCTCTTTAATGGAAGCATCAACTGTGGAGAAAGATTGATTCTACTTTCTAAAAAAATCAATTTAATGAATATTTATCATTATATTATGCTTTCAGGAGCTGGTAACTGCATGCAAAACTACAGTTGGTTCAAATTCAGAATCAAGCACTTTGCACTTACAAATTGTCCAGTAAATGTTCTTTGACCTCTCTCCTGAGAGTTCTTGCTCTAAAAACCTACAAAAAATACATCTTCTTACAAGATCTTACCCTGTATAAGGGAGAACCGACCTACCAAACTGCATGCATCAGTAACTGAAGACAAGCTATAACCAAAAATATTGGGTCAAAAACCATTTTTTTCTCATCTCCATCACTGTACAGCCATCAACTGTTTTTCACCAGTATTTTATCTCAGAGCAGGGAGGAGGAAAACGTGTAGCACCTAATCCATCAGACTTTCTCCTGCTAAGAAGGTGAGAACCCAAATGATTTAAGGTATTAAGAAAGTACAGAGTAGATAACATTGCTGCTGTTCTATTTCAAATCCAAAAATAAAGAGAGTCTGTGAGTCTGATCCAGATTAACTGGAACTTGATTGTGTGCCAGAAGCTAACTCACCACACTGAGATGGGTGACAGTTATCCTGAATAGAGAGTTTGGTAGCAGAAATAAGAGTGAAATCATGAGCAGTATGCTTAGAACGGGAATGGATAATCTGCTCAACAGCCACTAGAAATTTAAGAGTAGGGAAGGCTTTTTTCCAGCAGAGGCAGGAAGCTCACAGCTGTGCTGTGTCCTTTAAGTGCACGCTCCACAGCAAGCTGTGTGGCTTGCAACTTGAGGACGAATTTTTGTGAATGTTCAGGGAAATAGCATTCAAAATGCACTTAGCAGCTGTTGAATGTTGGTGACCAGAACAGAGGAGTGTCTGACACCAAAGTGAACAAAATGCTGGGGGCTGCGCTGTGCAGTCCTACGCACTGCTCACCAGGAAAAGCAGGAGGCAGGAAACAGATGGAACAATTTTCCTGCTCCGAAGTGACAGCCCCTCTGTCCAGCAGGCAGGAGATGGTGAATAGTCTATAAATGACAACTACTGCACTGATGCATACAATTAGGCCAAGCATGTAGCCAAAACTTTAGTACACTTGTTTTTTGAAGTATCAGAATGCCAAAGGACTACAGCATGCTACTTCTCTCCTGGGAGGGACTGATCTGAATCAGGCAGCAGTTGTTGTCCCCATGCCACTCACAGCCAGAAAGCCTTCCTCTCCTGATTTCTTTCCAATCAGCAAAAGCAATATATACCTCTGTCTACACAGCTTAGTTTTCCATCTTCCTCTGTCCTTCTTGAGACAAGAATATAAAACACACCTGAGTGCAGTTTGTGGCTACATGCTGCTATAAATGTTCTTTCATTATATCCTTTCACATTAAGACCACATCAAGGTTAGTATGGTTTGATAAACAACTGGAAATCAGGTTTCAAATTCAAGCTGCCTACTCCAAGCACTGCACCGAAATTCAATCTCTGCTTTCTGTTTCTAGAACCAATTGAGATTTTTCAGCTTTCAAAATATCAAAGAACATTTAGAGTGGAAAAAAGTGCAACACGTTGCTATTGCTTTTAGATGCTGTTGCCCTGTTATTTTGTGCTGAAGCTGCCCAGACTTTCCAAATCTGACGAAAACATCAGGAGGTTGCTTTCTTTACATAAGGCTCCGTGGGTTGAACAGAAATGTACAAATTTTCCTCCACACTTATAGAATCACAGAATCACAGAATGGCTTGGGATGGAAGAGACTTAAAGGCCCCCAGTTCCAGCCCCCTGTTGTGGGCTGGCTGCCACCCCCATCCACCAGCTCAGGCTGCCCAGGGCCCCATCCAACCTGGCCCTGAACACCTCCAGGGATGGGGCATGTTTTCTGGGGTTCTCTGGGGAGCTGTGCCAGTGCCTCACTACTCCCAAAAGAAAGAATTTCTTCCTAACATCTCACCTAAATTTCCTCTCCTTTTGGCTTAAGGCCATTTCCACTTGTTCTATCACTGCTGGACACCAGCAAGAAGACCTCCCATTGCTGGACTCATAACAGCCATGACAGCCATGCACACCCCCTGAGGATGCCTTTTACCTGTTTGCCACCAAGTGTCCACAAGGGTACAGCGCCCTTCTCCCACCACGTGGTAGAACCACTGCCAAGCCTCGTTGTTGATAGGCTCTCCCACTAGATCAAAAATAAGAAAGGAAGTCGCCTTAAGACTCAAGGAGTTGCTGACAGTTCATTCTGCCTTTTGGTGCACGATATGGAGATTGCACGATTAAGCTCAAAACCTTTTCGCTGAGAGGTGCAAAGGACAGCAATGCACTTATATAACAAAGGACTTTTTCCAGAAAGACCAGAAGGCAAGCAATAAATATCAAAGAAAGTAATTAATCAAAGCAACTCATGTATAAGAACCCCTAAAATCCTAAAAGCAGTAAAATATTTCTTGAGTCACCTAAGCCATTAAAGTTAATTTACCACTGGATAAACCTTTTCTGCAAAGAATACAATCCTGCAATATGAGCTAGGAGAAGGACAATCATGTAGGCTCAGTGTCTCCAACTTCAGTTTGTTTCCCCTTCTGCTGAGACAATAACTGAAAAGCCAGATGGGGAATCCACTTTATCAGCTGTTTATAACCATATTCTTCTGGTATCTTCACTCTCATCAGCTAGAACCCTGTATCTTTACCACAGGAAAGTTTTATGCTTCCTACCTGATCCCAGGGTCTTCAGGGATGATCTGTCATATTTCTTCACCCACTTGTCTCCATAATTCAACAACAAGCGTATAGCTGTAGGTGCTCCATAAAACTGATTTATTTTCAGCCTTTGTACCATTTCCCAGTAACGGCCTGCAAGATCACAAACATATCAACACTGACATTCCACCACAAAGCTCAGCATGAAGCTTAGCAGTCAAAGCTGAGGCTGAGGTTACTGTGAGCACAGAGCAAAAACAATGGAAAGATTTCATATATTTTTTTAAACATTGGATGTTCCTGAGCATTATACACGCGTGTTTCAAAGAAATTGAGCTTTTACCTCCCCTGCACAGACAGGTTATACCTGACAAGTTTCTAACCTCCTTTTGCCTTGTCACACTGCCACGCCTAGCCAACTGTTTGCCCATCACTTCCTTACCTGGGTCAGGGTACACTGGAGTGCTTTCAAACAGCACCGTGGTGCCTCCATTGCAAAGCGGTCCATACACAACATAGCTGTGTCCTGTGATCCAGCCAATGTCAGCCACGCAGCCAAAGACATCACCTTGCTGATAGTCAAACACATACTGCAAAGATAAATGTAAGGCCAGCTGATTTCCTGTTGGCAGGTGCATAGAGCTGAAGAGTAAGATGCTGGATGGGATGCACACAAAAAGGAGCAAGAGAGCTCGTAGGGTGAGTCGTGCCACTCACACAGGACACAGCAGCACAAGGCCAGCCCAACGTGAGGAAACAAGCCAAAGGGACCAGGGCTTCAGCCTCCTGTTTCTGCCAACATACAGGGAGCAAGGAATCCAACTGTTTTCCAAACTGAAACCTACAACCAAAGCCGAGAGCTCTGGATACCTGCAGTTGCTCACTGCAGATAGCTCACATGGGAGAGCTGATCCTAAACAGCAGGGAGACTGCAGGTCTCAGAAGCTTAAACCCCTCATGAATATGAACATTTTTCCGTAAGAGAGCTGGAGAAATTGATATGTGTACATGAAACATTTCCTGAGAAATGCTCTTAGCTGCTTAGCACCTTTATCAGTGCATTGCTTTCCAGATGCTTCCTTCTCCCTGCTCGTCTACTTCAAATAAAAACCTAGGAGAACACGCTATTTTGTTTTGCCTTCAGAAAATGCTTCTCTCTATAAATCCAATTCCTCTACCACATAGTGAAGAGGTCCTGACTCATAAAGCAGAGTCAGTTTTACAGTTTAAATCAAAGAAAGAGGATCAGAAACTCAAAAAATAAACCACACAACAACAAAAACCATGAACGTACAGCCATGAGAGTCACTGTGGTTTTGCACACGTGTTGCACAGATTATCTGATCTCTCTACTTAGGAGAGCTAATCTTCACCTTAATTTTGCAAGTGCTTTTCCCCATCAGGCTCTAAAGCAGCTCTAAGGGGGCTGCAGCTGCATACAATGCCTCCCTGCACCAGTGTGCCAGATCTACCTTCTGGACTAATGGAGAAATAGATGCTTTGGTAATTACACAGTCACTCAGAAAAGCTGACATTGCAAATACTCTGAGTGCAGAGAAGTTTGACACTTTTACATTCAAATCTTTCTAAAAATCAACTGTGTCAGACGAAAAAAAGAAAAGCTTTGAAAGAATTGTATGTGATTACAAATGGGGTGATACCACTAAAGTCAGATGGAGAACTTTCACACAAATCCCATCTCCATTTTATTGTTGACTTTTCATACGCAGAGCTCAGATCACAAGCTGCAAGAAGCAGTTCCTTTTTTGGCTGGTTTTTTTTTTTTTTTTTTTTTGTGAGAAAGATATTTTTCATGATTTTGCTTTCAAGTGTTAAAATATTTAGCCTAGATTACAACAAAAATCAGTGCTAAAGTTTAACCACAGGACATGAATGCAATTTTTGATCTTCATACTATATAGATTATGCAAGAGGTTTTTAAGAATCCAGATCCTCTCTTCTGGAAAAGGCCAGTACTCCACTACAAACTGTTACAGCAGTAGTCACATTACCAATGCCAATGAAGTACCTACCTGAATCTCCTCAGCTGCATCACTTTAATGTCTCTAAGTATGGGCCTAAGACAATAATACAGTATAGGCTCTAGTTCTCACAGTATTATATTCCCCAGCAACAAAGCCCAAAATGTTACTTACACATTCTCAGAACTTTCGAATTTGGTTACACTCAATAAGCCATTTAGGTAGCACACACAGAACACAGTCATCAAAGTCCCTATCATTAATATCATAAGGTAAGTGAACCTCCTCTAGAGGATTCCTATGAGTTACCTTATGCGTGAGAGCAGCATACAGCAAATATCCAGCCTGGGTGTGAACGATTCCTTTGGGTTTCCCTGTGCTGCCTGAGGTATACAGCATGAAAAGCATGTCTTCACTGTCCATGCTCTCTGGAGTGCATACAGAAGCTGCCTTGGCCATCTCCTAAGAAGAAAAGGCGGTGATGAGAGAAAAGCTTTGGTTATATGAAACCAATTCATGCTCCATCTGTAAGCATGTCAGCAGCATCTAGAGATAAGAACCACCTCTGCTGCTTTCCCCTCATATCATAGGTTATAGCTGCTTACCTTGTGGAAAGGTTCCTGTGCACAAATAGCACCCAGCCCCTCCACCAATACCTCTGCCAGGCTCAGAAGTCATGAGGAACTGGCCAGATAACACAACATTGCAGAAAAGAAAAAAAAAAAAAAAAAAGGTAGGTAATAGCTTGCATTCCAAGACTCTGTAATTTGCTGGTAGAAAACCTAAGCTTGACTGTATCTATGAGTCACGCAGCAGCTGCAGCAAGGCTGGATACTGTTGAGGAACTTATCCCTTTAAAACTGCAGTGGTGTAGTTAAGTTGTGTGTTCATTTCTCTTCCTCAGCCACAGGAGAGGCTGGCAGTCTTGTTAATTTGATGCTGAAATTCAAATTGCTGCTACTCACGAGAAGGACAGTGCTTTACCCTCCTGCCTCTGTTTCTTTATAGACCACTGGTCATGTGGCTAAGAACCTAGCTCCTCTCCTCACCCCTGGTGTCAGAAACACTAGAGGAAAGGATGTAGTGTCCTACCAGTTCACAGCAAATTTTTGGATGAGCTGGTGTGCTCAGTCCAACAGAAGAAGGGGAAGGAGAAATACTGTGCTTTGAAAGAGAGGCTTGTGGTAAATGCAGCTTGTGGATGGCCAACGTCCAAAACAGAGCTCAACAGTAAGCAGTCAGAATGCTCAAGCCCCATTCAAAGAACTTACAAAAGATGTTGCTTCTCATCAGCATTTAGACACTGCATGAAAGCGTATCGGGACCAGAACATAAGTTGCTAAGGTCTGGCACAGAACTGTGAAAAAAAACAAGCAGAACTCTGGGAAATATCTTCAGACCAAAACAGACAGTGAAAACTTTAGGCAGGATATCTGAATGCCTTCTGGATGTTTGCTCAGTGCTGCTTCTGAGCTTTGTATTCACTCTCTCCATCTGAAGAGACAAGGAGTCCTTAACTGATAATAGCACTTATGCATTTCATTGATGATGCTAGAATTAAGATGTGAATTAAAAGTATAATCCCATCATAAGAAAGCTTTCATATATAAAATATACCAGAGAAGGCTTTTCTTCCAGAGCAGAGTGAACCACACAAACGCACTCTTAAAGAACATAATTTGTCTACAGCACATTTTGCCCAAATTGTAAATTTTTCATGATGAAGAGGTTGACCATTTTTCTTGCTGTTCACAAACTTGTGGTAATGACTGTGCACTGCAGTTGCTCAACAAGTGGCTATAAAAAGGCAGAGCTGGCTTGCTTCTCTCAGGCTCTATGCTGTCTTAGCTGAATGATGATCCCTGTAAGGGTTATTATGTTGCTCTTCGAAGGGCTTTCTAGGCACTATGTTTTTGTAAGTACATACTGCAAACAAACTACTTACAAGTGAATTCTACCAATCTGGGTCCAAATGTTTACAAGTGTCTGACAAGTAGAGCTTAATAAAATAAGAACTGATAAGGTCAGACATAATTCTTATCTGCTGACTTTCAGTACTTCCCAGGTATTTACGGTAACCTGCCAGCACTAAACTTAGGCTGACTTGCCAATTTCTGAAACTAGAGTGGTGTTTGCATAAGCTCCATTAAAACATGAACTTAAATTGTGCAGTAAGCTATTGCATAGTAGCTGTAATTCACTTAAAACAGTGGGTAACATGAATCAATTAAATAAGAGTCTGTTAGCATGGCATCACGGTTTTCTCCCATCTTACAATCATCTCCCCCCCCATCACTCAAGTCTCACTGTTTCTCAGAGGTTTGTATGGAGGACATGAAACTGCAATACAGAGGGACAACTGGGATTCCGTCGGTGAGCAGGGAAGTGAGATAGGACTGAATAGTGGCTCGTAAGCACGACTGCTGTAAAGATCAGTGATGATAGTTAACAGCATTAATGGCTGAATTGTTATGTTTCAGAGTTAATCCTACAACTGACAATGAGCTGAGATCAGTTCTTAAGTCACAAAATCACTTCAGGCTGTTTGCAGACTGAGGAAAAACATTCAAATGTGCTTTGCTGAGTAAAAAGTAAGACAAATTTCTGAATAAAAACCTGCCCTATCTGTTTAACTTATCCTAATAGTTGCTCCTATCTCCTGTCCCCAGCACAGCAACCTCTGAGTAATTATCTTGGCTGCAGAAGGGTGGTTTCCAGGTATTACTGATGAGTGCTTTTTGCTTACAGCTGCTGGCGAATTGATAAAACTATATCTGCATTAGGTTGTACAATCTCATGTGTGGCAGCTGAACACATTAAAATGACCACTGTTTTCTTCTTTCTTCCTTCTACAGCACAGGCTGTAAATATACACAAGCCATGATTGACCTTCCATCATGGGGTAACCATAACACTGTCCATTGACTGTATTAAGTGCTACCAGGAACTTGATTATTTCTGCACTGTCTTTCAACAGTCTGAGAGCACATATGAGAGCTCACAAAACACAAAATAACAGTAACAGCAGTGATATCAGCACACTCCAGCTCTCAGGAAGCACTCATTCCTTAAACTGTGGCACGATTTTAAAAAATGCTGAAATGGTGCTGCTTCAACTCACAGCCCCTGCAGACTGTAATTTTAGGATGAATAATCATCCTATTCAAGGATGAGGATCTAGACGCTATAAGGGACATCTCCTTTATGTCTGCAGAACTCAGATCCAAAAGGCACAAATGGAGAAGATGATGATCGAGCCAACACCCAGACCTAAGAGGAGTTAACCAGAGTGCTAGTGGGCAAGCATACAGGTGGGTACTGGGATATACAGATGCTGTCACTGTAACACACTGTACCATTAGGCCAATGAGGTACACAGGAAAAGCAATACACACTCAAAACCTGCTCCAGAAGCAGTATAAAGGCAGGAGAGTAAACACCACATGGAGAAAAAGCAGGAAAATGGGTAAGGTTTACCAGCATCCACATACTTCTTCAAGGGGAACATCAAGGTCACCCATCTGGGTTTTGTTATCTGTCCTCTGTGCCACAAAGACATGCTTGACACTTGGACAGTTCTTTACAGCTTCATCCACTGTCATCTTCAGCTCTACGATTCGGCCTCCCCTGACTCCCTGGTTGTAGGTGATAACTGCTTTGCATTCAGCTAAAAAGAGAGAGAAACAGCAGACACATCACCTGTTTTCCAGTTTGTACATGGTGAGCAGATTAACTTTCATTAATTAGATATCATTCGTTTGGGGGATGACGTATTCAGCATGTACTCAGAATTTACATGAATGAAAAACAGTGACTGATAAAAGCACATTAAAACTTGGCACACAAAGAGTAGGTGTAGCAGGAATCTCCAGAGCTTATCTAGCCCATCTTCTCCACCCCAAAGCAAGGCTGGTTCCTGTTAAAACACTGCTGACAGTCTAAACTGCCTAAAACACAGTGTGGGGTATTCTACTCCTTTGCCAACAGTTTGCTCCAATGTCTGCTACAAACATGAGAAACTCCTTCCCAACACTTGGCTAAGTATCATTCACTCTAATTTAAATGCATCAGTTTCTACTTGTCAGAGTCAATATGCAGAACATCCTTCCCAGTTACATATATTAAAAATGCTCATGGCTTCTCTAGGCTAAAACCAGTGCAAAGCTTCCATCAACTCCAGTAGGCCTTAGTGAGCAGCCATCTCCCTTATCCCTTTGCCATCCTCTCTTTAGGGCTGCATAGAACTATCTGTTCCAACCTGAATGGCACTATACTCAGCACCCTCTCAGAGGCATTATCTTCTTGCAGCTTTCTGAAACCCACCTGTATCTTGCTGGGAAACCTCTTAGGAGCCACAGCACATAGCAGCACCCGGACAGACCACTTCACACTCTGTCACACTACATTAATTACAGAGCTCCATAGAAAGGTACAGAAAAGTGATTCCTTAGTCTACTGTCTCCATATAGGTGGCCAAAAGTGAGGGATAACCAAAACATGTGCTTACTCTAAGTAGATTTGCTATAAATTAAAAAACAACAACAACAATAACAAAATGAAAATGGCTGTTTAGTCATACATAAGCTGATGTAACTGCTAGAACATGAGCCAGTTGCAATTTTGTTCTTCTGCTGTATTTTCAGCATTCCCTTTAATCACATTACAATTGCTTTGGGTTAAGAACAGCTCTCTGTGTCAGTACAATGTCTAAAGGAGTGGGAGCAGACTGCCAACATTTTTTTGCTGTACATAAATCATAGTATCACAATCTAGACTGCAGAGCTAGCACTCTGCACAGGGATCAGAGAAGCACTTCAACTATGCTTCAAAAGAACAAATCAGGCCACATTCATAAGCTCTGGTTTTCCCTCCAGGTTCACTGTTGTCTGGAAGTAACCTAGAGCAGACTGAATGTTAAGCAATTTATTAAGTACTATATTATAAAGTAAGGCCAAAAGATATTGCCACTAAGGAAAAGGCTCTTCACAGTACTTTGCAAAGGAAAGTGAACTATCCAGCCAGCTAAGAAAGAACCTGATCTTTTCTGCCAAGAAAACATGAAATTCGGACAAAAGTATGTTTTGGAGGGCGTCACCACCAAAAGGTTTGTTTCCCTTGGTCTGCAGCTACTTACAGTCCATGATCCTTCCAGCTAAGGACTCTGCGCTGAATCCCGCGAAGACCACGGTGTGAACAGCACCAATCCTGGCACAAGCCAGCATGGCTGCCACAGACAGGGGAGACACGGACATATAGATGGCAACCTTGTCCCCCTTCTGTATCCCATATTTTTTCAGGGTGTTGGCAAGACGGCACGTCAGATCCAGAAGTTCCCTGCAGCACAGAAGCAATGTTGTTACATGACTGCACCACCTGTTTTATACAGGCAGACAAAAGAAGGATGAACCTGAGCTAAGAGAGGCATTGTGCCTCTGAATATTGTCACCTCTGTGGTACCAGGCATGCCAACCTCTGCACCTTGAAGTGACCTGGGATCTGGTTGGAGCCAGACTGTTCCTTCCTTGGGGAAAGAAGAAAGTGGGACTCCAGCAGTGGGGCTGTGCCCACTGCCCTCTGGGGCAAAACTTTTGCTGCAGCCACCATGAGGCCTCCCTCAGCTCCTCTGCTCTGGGCTGAGCAACCCCACTGGCCTCTGTGCTCATCACACACCTTGTCCTACAGACCATTCTCCATCCTTGCAGCCCTCCTTTGGATGCACCCTGATAGCCATTTTTGTACTGTACTGCTGACATAAATGCAAGACAAAATGGAAAATGCTGTCAAAAGATTCCCAGCACTGTTTACTTTGTGTGAAGGAACTCCCAGAAATTGCTTCATAGCACATAGCTTTTTAACGACAAGGGTAAACAATCCTTTTACATGCCTAAGGAAGAAAAAGAGAAGTGAAATTAAATCCTGAGATAAGCCTTAGTGTGGTAGATTTCACAAGACTCATCAGAGCAGGATTGTCAGTAATTTGAATTTTCCAGTTTGTTGTCTCACCCCATCATACCACCAAGTGGAACTGCCTAGCAGAGCTTGGATATTGCCCTCTCAACAGTAAAACCATGGTGGCTTCTCACAAAAAGAAACTCAGAACACTGAGAACAGGAACAAAGGCTCAATTCAGTGTTTGCCACTGCAGCCCACTAACTTAACAGCAGAAACATTCCTCTGTGCAACAAAAATGCAGTTTGTGAACAAGAAATTTCTTGTGCATTTCATCTGATGTCTGCATGGAGGATAACACAATTGCAGGCTTACCTGCAGTCACTGTCATGAACTGAACAGCCCTGTGTGTTAATACCCCCAGAAGCCAGGGAAGGGCAGGGTGCAGTGCTAGGTGAGGAGCACTGTCTGGTGCCAGCCAAGAGCTCCAAGAAGAATCCCAGAGTATGCCAGGTAAAGCTGTCTTCTGGGTCTAGAAACTCACTGAGCACTAAGGTTCAGAGGACAGAAAGAACTTCTACTCCTAAGCACAACCATCTACAGCCTGTCACCTGCAGATGCTTGGGGGTCTGCAAGTAATTCCATCAGGGACTGTACAAACTGTAGCAAGTAAACGTATTTGGGGGTCATCGCACCCAAGTAAACAGCAAAGCATGAACCTCCCAATGTATCCTTATCTTCCAGAACTGGTCATAGCTGTGAAAAACAAGCAAGCAAACAAACAGTTTTCAGCTGGTGGCTAAGCTGGAAATAAAATGAAATGTTGTTCTGGTCAGTCAAAAATTGTTTCCTTTTTAAAATCAATGCATGTAGGAAATGGACGCAGTTCAAGAGATCCACTTTGGAACTGTCATTAACGAAAGCAAAGGCTGAGACTAACTTAAGGATAAAACTCCGTTACATTGCAGGGGCAGCGAAGCAGCGTAGCTATAAACAAAGTACAAAGACAGATACAGTGACAGCTGAAGAGATACCACCCACAATTGTCCTTCAGAGGATGAGGAAAACGAGCCTTGAATCCCAGCCACAGCACTTTGTGTTATTTATTTTAAGACAATTCTTGTAGCATTCCATAAATAGATCCCTCCTGAAGCACAGTATCTCAGAGAGGTGGCAGACATGCTCCATGTTAGGGTTCACACCTCGCAGTACCTGATCTCTGGCAGCAGTTAGCAACAGCTGCCACAACAGAGAGACTGCAACCCTATAGAAAGGTGATATGGAGTGGCTTTACCCTGAGTTTCATCCTCATCTTTTACAACTAGAGATCAATGTAACTCTGAAGTACCACATTTAGTATCTCTTTCCAAGTGCTTCTTGAGCATGCACAGCCCTACTAACTACCTAAGGAGGCAGCCTGCTAAGCTGCATTTATTTTACTTTCTTTTACTACGTTCATGAACAGATTTACTTCTGCTGCAGGGAGCAGGAAGTGCAATAAGCCCCAGACAGGAAATTGTGAGAAAGCAAAACAAAAAACACTTATCTGTAATGGAACACGAAGAAGTGCTTTCAGAGCTGCAACCTCTTTCTCATGAACAGAAAAACCAAAGAGCTCTGGGTAGGTTGTCCTTTCTGAACAAGTCAGAGGTTCACTTGTTTATTCAAGGCTTAGTGATCATGACAGCAGAAACTCTTTTTATTTTTTAATTATTAACCCAAATTTAACATTTGGGTAATGAGAGTGTATGAACATGCTGATAGACAATAATTGTCAAGTGCTTATCCCCAGATCTGTTTTGCATCATCCTTTGTGCTCTAAAAGGCACAAAGGAAGGTCACGTTTTTCTTTGCTCCTCTGGAGGTACAACACATGAAGGAGTGGGCACAAAGGCAAAGAGACAGCAAAGCAAAAACCTCCATCACAGAAACAAATCCCAGAACATCAGTTGTGTATTCTGGCTCCTCCAGCAGCAATCCTGACTTCACCTCCAGCTCAACAATGGGAGTGAGCAGAAATGCTGTGCCAAGAATCCTACCCTAGAATTCCTCACTGCTTCATGCACTTTTTCCTCTCCAAGGGCAGGCAATTACTAAATGTGAGCAGGTTAGACTTTTCCAGCACTGATCCTAGGCAAATTTCAAGATGGAACAAGCACCCTGCATGGACAGTGCTCTGCAGAATTGGGTGGAAGAGACCCATCTTTTTCCAGAGAACTGAACTGAGCAGGAGGAAACTTCGCCTCTATTCTCTTCATATGCTGCTGCTGCCCAACTTGGTGCTGAGATTTCTCCATCGCACAAAAGGCCAAGAGCAATTCTGACATCCAGCACTGCCCCACCTTTGGCAGAAAAGCAGTGGCAATGCCATTCAGAATGGCCAGCCTGCATACAAGAAAGGAGTAGCCTCCCACTCAAACCCTATGGCCATGTTGGAAGCACGGGACATCTACCCAAAACACACACCAGCTGCTGAACAGAGCTAGGCACTGTCACCTTGGAAACTATGGCACAGTGCAAAACAAGGCATCCTTGCTTAGCTTCAGCTACATGCCCCTGTTCATTGCAGAGGAGTTGGACTAGATGACCAAAGATGAACGTCCCTTCCAACTCAAACGATTCTATGATTTTATGGGGTAGGAATGAAGGATAGAGCAAATACAGTTCTAGAGTGAAAGCATCTACTCTAAAAAGGCTCAGCCTTTGCCACCAGTGATGGACAGAGGTAGTCAGAAAGCTCGGGACAGATGTGTGCTACTTCTTCAAAGCGTGAGGTAAGCAAGCACGGCAACATCCCAAGCAATGCTCTCAAAAGGATTTCAGTTCTCTGCACAGAGCAGACAGGAGAGACGCAGGAAGCTGACCAAGCAGCTGGGCAAACACAGGGCCCCATGGAGGGCCAGCTGCCTGAACACAGGCCTAGGTGCAATAGGGAGGGGCTTAAAAGAGCAAACAGCTGGAAGAAGGAAATGTGCTGCAACAGAAGGAAGTACTCAGCCTCTTTGAGCAGAGAAAGCTGAGAAACAGTAAAGTCAGTTAATGCACAATGTCTACTGCTCCTCTGCATGAAAGAGCAAGGGCAGCAGGTTTTCATATACAGGGCTCTCCATATACAGGCATATACTGGTTGATAAAGCATCAGCGTGAGCTGAGACAGGGGAATCAGCAACCAGTTGGAGCCAGGAGCTGAGGCAGCTGCTTACATGGGAGAACATGTAACAAGAAAGGGAGTTTTTAAGACAAAGCATAGACAACAGGCCAGGAGATGGAAGATGCATTAATGAACATGAGCAGGGAAGGTGAAAATAATGACAAATCGAGGGCATTCTGGACTTGCTCTCAGAAAAAGAAAATGTATTTTTCGCCGAAAAATGTGGACAAATTCAACCTATTCATTGTACTGCAGGTGTAAAGGTAAATAGCTGCTGAATATGAATGTCACATAAATGCAGCCAGACAAAAAACTGATGTACAAAACAAACTGGGAAGCAACAGTATGTCAAACAGATCTGTATCAACTCTGGTCTTACTTTGCCTCTACAGAGATGAGTCAAAATCACAGGGAAATTCTGCCTTAACTCAGCAACACACATGCTCAAGGTGCAGAAGATACAATGCAGGCTTTAAGCACACGCAGAAGACTTCTGCAGAGCACGTGCCAGCAGGACATGAGGTCAGGAAGAGGCTGTGTTGCACAGAACTCCCTCAGCAATGGTCACGCTGCTGCAGAGCTGCTCTCCTCCTGACCCATGGTTTGCAAGACCTCAGGAATTAAGCTTGCCAGGTCTGCTCTGGCAGCCTTGCTTCATGTGAATTAGCTGAACAGCAACTCTTCTAGTTTACCAAGCAACTATGACTTATTTATGTTTCTTTATCTTTTTATGGTTTTATGACACTAACGCAGAGAAATAGAGGGCTGGTATGGTAACAGAGGCCTTGAGAAGTGGGCACATTTGATGTGATAAGCATGGGGTGGCAAAAGCCAGAGCGCAGGCTGGCAGTGCTGGGAACAAAATGATCAGCAGCAGAAACGCAGACCTGAAGCTGAGCAAAAGTGGTGTCAGAAAAACACATAGCACTATCTTTCTCTGAAGTAATTAATTCTGGGCTAATACAATCAGACCGTTACTGTTTCAATTATTCTAAGAACAAACTCTGAGCTCTCTGTGTATAAGGATTCTTTATGTCCACAGACAAGATTTTGAGTGTTAACACTGTCCTCTTCCAGAGACTCATCACATTTTGCTCCTCAGCTGTCACATCATCTCTTCTCAGTACAGTGACTGCAAGACTGGCCCTCCAGCATCATCAGCAGAGCACTGCTCAGGCCAGGAGCTCTGCTTCACCTAACAGATGCAGCACTCCTCTCTGATCTTCATGATATCCCTGTTTGGAGAATGCCAGACTACATTTCTCCCACATCCTTCCCCAGATACAGTGGCGCC